ATGACGCTTCTCATCAGCGTACACACAGCTCGCGTTCTCAGGGATTGCACAGCACAGGAGAACCAAACTTTGGTCATCTTTGTTGAAATGCAGCATTGCCTTTCTTTCAGTGAAGTTTGTTACTAATACTTTTTATGTAACTATCTAAGAAACATCTCTGTGGTTGATCCCTTTTTTCCAGGCTAAATTATTTATTGGCCTCCATTAGAGCCTGGCAGAGAAGGTTTGCCAGAGCTGATAAGGAGGTTTTTGTGAGGGACAGTTAAGAACCAATCACCATCCAGGCATTTTCGAGGATACAGGGTTTTCCTACTTGGTCTCATCGCTGAATTTTTTGACTCTATTCTCTTGCTTAGCTCAGGCACAATCTTATCGATTAGATATAGTCACCCTTACGTGTTTTTATAAATCACTTGTAAAACAGCAACCCTTATGCATTTTGTGTAAGATTAGCATTTGTGGTTAGTACTTGCCCTCACCCGTTCTGTTCCACCTCCAGCCTCTCTCCAAGCTTCAGTACTTTAGTTTTATCACTGTTTTGACAGTCTAGTATCATTGTTATTTTTGCTGCTTCTTAGTTAGGACAATTTCAGTGACACAAAAGGTCAGCAGAAGTTCTAGAAATACGTGTGGAGGAGGAGAGTAAGTTCTGTACCTATTACTGAAGAATTTTTGGAAATGGAAGTTGTCTGGCATTCTGTACTGCTGCTTCAATTAAGGAAGTTGATTGAAGCTGCAAAGTTCCTCCATCATGTTTGAAGTAGTTTGTTTACTCAGTACTTGGAAGTAGTACAGTCACTGCAACAGAGAGGAGGTTTTACAGTATTCTACAGCACAACTTCAAAAGATGGTCAAGAAAACTTCTGAATGTGTACTGAAAAGAGTGTTATTCCTTACCTTGCCTATAGATGTGGATTTAAACCTGTTATCCTAGAAACAGGGCTATGTTTTCTTAGATACAAGCTTACACAGGACTTAACTTCTGGGATAAATGATCCCTGTTCAAAACATGAACAGTGTTTCTGATACGCCAGCAACTTGAATGTGGCCTTAAAGACAACTGTAACACTACATTAAATCACTCCAGTGCTTTGAGGTCTCAGAGGTCTTCAGACTTTTCCAATCCTTTCATATTGGAAAATCTGATAGAAAGCTGCCTCTGCATGAAGTATCAAAAAAGCAGCAATGTAACAATGTCTACAGAATGTTTGCATGAAGCATTGTACCATTGCAATGCTTTATGTAGATTGTTACAGCAGGTGAGTTCCTGCATTTTTTTTAATCAGGCCCCATGTCTGAGTTGCCTTTGCTATTAACAAATTTCTGTAGTCCATTTAGAGTTCAATAAAGCAATTTATAGGCACGTTAGGAAGATCCAGAGCATTGTGTCTTTTTTCCACTGGTGAGCACACCAACTACTTCAGAAGCATCAGAACTTTTCCATTTGGATTTCTTTAGTTATCCCTGCAATCAGAGGTTTTCGATCTGTGATAGAGATCAGAGCATCACTAGGTTTGAGATTCATGGCTGGATAAAATCCTGTTCTTCATATAAGCATACTAAAACTGAGCAGTTAATCCAGCAGCGCGTGTACCTCTAAACTAAACCAACACATTCAAGTGATGACGGACGACTGAGATTGTGTTGTGCTGGGAAAGACTGATGATCCTTTCTGGGAATGGTGCGTAGCATACCAAGATTTTTACATCGGTGTAATCTTTCAGATGGGAAAGTTAAATTAAGTGGATATTTTTCTTTGCTATGAATGATTCCTGAAGCAGCAGCAACAATGCAGAAAGTGACCCAGATATGGGATTTCCTGAAAATCGACCTATCTGTAACATGACAGCCCTGGTCAGAGATCTTTATCGGTCCTCATGTGTTGCCTGATCTGGTTTAGAGGCGTCCTTGCCCATGACAGGGAGGTTGGATCTCTAAGGTCCCTTTCAGCCTAGGCCATTCTATAATTCTTTTTTTAATTTCAGAATCTGGAGGCTGATGGTGTACATTCAACTCATTCTGCAATAAGCTAGGACTTGGGAAAAAAAAAAAAAAAAGATAAAAAAGCTCCCACAATATTAATTTCCTGTGCTTGTGTCAAGACAGTTCTTGTTCCTAGAACTATGAAACTGTTCAGCAGTCAGTTGTGTATTACTTTAGAGTAAGGGAGACATATGTCTGCTTCTGTTGCCATTTTACTTTATAACGTAGGTGCTTGTTGCCTGAGCAGAAGTGAGAAGTGTTGTGCCAGCAGTGCCGGGGCTATCCTAGTTGGAAGGAAGAAACACTTGACCAGTCATATGTACAGTATCAGATGGGAAATGTTCTCTCAAATTCAGGAATGTAACAAGAGGAAGTAGTCTCTTTGAAGTTTTTGATGCTTGTGATTTAGACAGCTGTGTTTGAGCTAATCGTTTGGAGCTCTTCATAAACACATAGAGAATTAAGATCCTCAAGGATATGATTCATCTCATTCTTAGGTGGGTGGCTAAAAAGAAGTTACATGGCTTGTGTCCATAAACCCCACTTGATTTCTGTTGACTGCAGAGAGACTTTCGACAGGTCACACATGAAAATACAGCAAGGTGAATACTGGTTGAAAATTTGGTTTGTGCAGACAGTCCGGAATACCTGCTCTTAGTAAATCAGGACAGGTGCTTTTACTTTGCACTGACAGTTCCTCAAGAACCCACACTGCTTGCTGTCAGCAAGTCTTAAAGCTACAAGGTAGTTCTTTGTTCCGCAGTCCCTCCATTTGATGAGGTCACTGTATATACTCTTTCCAAGGAGTGAGCTTGTCTTTCCCTGAGGTCTGAGCATTGCTCTTGGCTGGGTTGAAGGAACCACCTGCACACTCTTACCAGCTGTATTTGCCACCTGCCCACTCTTACCAGCCATGTATTTGCCTACTATCACCTCCTCACCTAAAAGTAGGATAAATTAAGATGCTTTTACTGTGGTTCTACCCAGAAATGGCATGAAACTTCCTTTTATTCACAAGATATTTTTCTTAAGAATAGAACGGTGTTTTAATGCTCCCGGATTTTGTGACCCTGTTTAAGTACTCTTTTCTTTCTTAAGTGTGCTCTTGAGTGTCTTTGCAGCAATGTTCAGCTTGTTTGATTCATGTTCACAGAAGTTTTAGATTTTGATAATTTCTTATGATTCGGCTCAGCTGCATTACTGAATTTCTGTATTATTGAATTTTTTTACAAAGGTTAGTTGTCCAAATAATTTTGTACAAGTATAGGGACAGTGTATTTATTTTTTCATATATTGTGTCTATGTGCTTCTGTTTATTTTTTCACGTGTTGCTTCTGTGTGACTCCTCTTACAGAACCTAATGTGGAGGATACAAAGTAATTTTACTTAGGAGCTATTTTTTGTTTTGTTTTTTAAGAGTGCAGTCTCACATGTATACCATTTCAGAATAGATGTTGAGGTGGGAACACAGAAATACTCAGCTGAAATTGAGAATGTGGTTTTAGGTATTCAGAAATTCAAAGCAAATACGTTTAGGGATTGTGTTTGCGTAGGATGCAAATTATTTCCCAACTTTGGAGTGTTTTCTTTCTCAAACTGTTTCCTTTTTATCACTTATTTTTCCTAACTACAGTGATATGGAGCTGTAGTTTTGCTACTGTGAGCTACTATTTTATTCATGATAGGGTAACTATAAAAACTGTCTAGTACTTCAGGATAAAAACGCGTATGTTGGTACCTGGATTTGAGATGAGGAGAGGCATGTACAGTTTCTTCCCGAACCCTTATTGATAGTGTTTGGTCCAAGGCATATGCTCTAGGTATTTTGGGATAAATGCAGTTGTACAAGACCCCTGTTTCTGCCCCATCTTTATCCATTTGGTTATTGGCTTTTCTTAGTTTTTCACAGTGAAATTTATTATCAGTAATGGTATTAAAAGTTTTTGTGTCTGTTCTCATATCACTTGAGGCATTTACCAGTCTTCACACCATTCTTTCTTCGTTAACTAGCAAGTCAAAGTTGAGCTGTTTAAACTTTACTGTGCAGTAATTACATTGTAATGAACTAGTTATATGTGTTTATATATATATATACAAAAAAAATATATATATGAGGATTTTCACTGTCATAGACTCAAGAAGACAGAACAGAACTTTTTAGGGCATGGAGTCTATCTCTGTGATGCCAGCTGGGCTTTATTGTGCTACAGCAGTTGATGTTCAGGACTCTTCACCAACTTTTTGTGTTTTCACGTTAGAATTTCAAGCTCTCACAGGTCAGTCACCAGCAACTCGAGCTCTGCAAACACCATGTAACTAGAGCTAAGAGAGTGTCAGTTGCAGATTTGAGAAGCGGAAAGAATTTTTAACTTGAATATTTTTTAAACTCTTCGGGGTTGGTTTGTTTATATTAACACCTGTTTAACTTTGGGGACTAACTTCTGGATAAAGGAAGCCTGTGTGAAATGCACAACATCCTCAGGCTTCCAGCAATGAGTGGATGCTGTGACCGGGCGGCAATGGGTGTGCAAAGGTGCAGGCAGGCCTTCCCTATCACAGAACTGGAAGCCTGGCCTCACGCTGCTCGTGTGGCTGTAGCACAGACGTATGGATATGCACGTCTACAAATGTGAGCAGAAAATTCCCGTCCTGGGCTGCAGTACTAGAGCTCTGTGTAAACAATCCTAAAACTTCTCCAGTAACCATCAGCACAGTTAGCAAAACCCACATTTTGTTGATTGCTGTTATTCCTAAGGTAGGAAAAATTCTTCATGTTATGTAGTCAAGATAAACACAACTTTGGTGGGTTTTTAATCCTGTTCAAGAATACTTTTTTTATTAGCATTAGAGAAAACTACGAAGATAGTGGTTTGTGTCCAGTGGCTTGTTACATAAAGCCATAACTTGTGTAGAACAGTACTAAATAGAAAAGACTTATACAGTCTAGGATTTGTTATTACGTTTAACCTGAAGACCTGCTTGAGGTAGTTGGAAAAGCTCAAATACTGAGTACATACTTGAGAAGAATTTAAGAAGGTGATATATTTTTAAAGTACTGAATGAATGAAATATTTCCAGTTGAGGTGACAGTCAAATAGTACACTTAATGTTTAAACAAAATTTGGCGAGACATCTAACTTCTATTAAGTTAAAAGTGGTTTCTTTCACCTCTGTTTTGTTTCAGAAGGAGAAATGTAAAATATATTCTTTTGCTTTTCAAAAAGGGTTTTATTTTTCATATCAGAACTTCTGTTCTGCAAAAAATCTCCTAGATTCTTTTTGGAATCTAAAAAATTGGGTTAGAGACTTTCTATATAGATGGTAAAAGGTTAGTCAAATGCTAAAATTCAACTTTTTCCAGGGTTTTGTTACTATTATTTAGAACCTCTATGGGCGTCAATATAAATGTAAAATCAGTAGCTATAATATCAGCCAACATTGTTTTGAACTAAACGTTGCTTTTAAAAGTGTAATTGGCATTTTAAAATTTTTAATAGAACTTTTTGTTCATGAATGCTCCAAACTTGTTTACTTCTGTAACTGTGCCGATACTGTCACAAGGATTATCACTTTGACAGATGGCATTTCAGCTATTTTGCTCCAGATTGTTTTGCATGTTTAGAAAGCAGCACTAGCTTTTAAATCTTTCTGTAGAGTTTGCTTCTATACAGGGTTTGAAATATAACTTTCTTAGTAAAGCTAACATAGTTGCCATCAAAGCGTCATTTCAGATAAAATTTTAATATATTGGCCTACTTTAAATATGAAAAACTCTTCCATAATACAGTATTGTTAGGGAATTCTGATTATGTGGGTTTACATCATGTGGGCCTTGATCAAGTACAGCTCTAATCCTATTAAAGCTGTACTTGGTAATTTAAAGCTAAATCTATTCAGTAATGAGAAAATAAATAAAATTAAAAGTGTCCTTAATAACTTCACAACAGTCCAGGATTCTGGATTCCCTTTCTTGAGAAATCATTGTGCTTGAAACCTGCCTTCCTAATTGTCATTCCATAGTTCTTTAGGATCTTGCTATAAAATACTCTACTACAGTCTTCCCCAAAGGCAGTCCACTGGGAGGTCTTACCCAACATACTCGCTTAAAGTTGTCTCTGAGTTCTAGTACATCTGATTCTGTCTCCTCATCCCCAAACCAGGTCACTTGTTTATTTGAAAGAGACTTTTGCATACTGCCTTTACAGAGAGTGCAGCTGTGGTTCTGTTCGGTTGATATAAATCATGGAGCCTTTTACTGTAATTTGATTGTAGAATTTGCTGAAAATATTAAGGGACTATTGTTTTCAGATCTAAACTGTGCTGAACGTAACTTCTGTTTATTTTTATGGTCTGCTTTTTACTCACCTGCCTTGTGGTGCCAGAATGACTGTTTGCCAATAGATTAAATTTGTTCCTACTTGAAGTGAGAATGCTGACTCAGCTGTAGTAGCTGTTGGCTCTTTGATACCTTGTCCTCCCAGCTGCAGAGGAACTATTAAGTAACTAACTTTTCTTTTACAGACAAGCTATTTGCTGCTGTAACCTTTTAAGTACTACTCTTAAGTAGCTGAATGCTTAAGGATCAATGATCCGAGAATGTCAGTACTAAAATGTTAAATACAGTTTTCAGAAACAGTTAGTCACCTGTTGAGTATTATACTCCCCTTCTGGCAGACCTTGTTGCATAGCTTGGGAGCCAGTAGCCCCACCGGAACTTCACTTTTATACATCTCTTAGCTTTGCCCATTGTACAAGTCTGGAAAGGTTCAGCATAGGCTGAGACCAAATTACCTAAAATCCCTAAGAAATCACAATAGGAGCATGTTGAACTAATGTTTGGAAAAGAAGCATCCAAGTCAGACTGGCTGCCAGATAAAGGTGTGTATTTTCTCTTAAATTTTGCACAGAGACAACTTCAATCCATGCTGAGGTTTTCGTGGCTGTTTCGTGGAATTACCCCTGCTGTGTGTGAATTTTTGTTGCCTCCATCTTTACTCTGTGTTTACTCAGTGGATATGCAGACTTAGCTTTGTGCAGATTAGCTTTATCCTTCAAGGCACCACTGTTTCTTGCTGATGTTCTGTGTAAAATTACAGGGAATTCGATCCCATTTTAAGACTGTGTTTCTCTTTGGGAATCCTTAAGAAAGGTGCATTAATTCGGATACAATTTTTAAAATTATTTATTTTTTGAAGTATGACTGAAAGTCATTGCAAATCAATTCTTCCTTTAACGTATGGGTATTCAAGAGGCAGAGCACCCAAGCTGTTGATGTGCCTAAAAGTGGATTTTTACCTGTGACTGACATTGAATTAGGCTCCAGCTGAGTAGCTGGGATTATCTGGAGCCAAAACCATGCCTTGGCTTGAAGTGGAGGGTGAGGCTGGTAACGGGCATGTGAAGCTGGTCTGATCTGAAAAGTGAAGAGCAAGCAAGAGAACAGCCCGAATGTTGTTTGTAGTACAGTTAATAATTGAAATTACTGAGTTTTGTTAATAGTATTTCTATGCTGATATATATTTACTGATCTAGTTGAGAGATGTCCCTGCCCATGACAGGGAGGTTGGATTAAATGATCTCTAAAGTCCCTTCCAGCCTAGGCCAGTCTAAGATTCTATGATTCTATTAGCTTTTAACACCACTTCAGTTGACACTACCTTGTGTGTGTATTCACATATTAATTTTTAGACTGATGGGATTTCCTGTAATTCTAAAGTTAGTGTGCTATTTCATGGGTCTGCCATGAGTGGATGCATCAAATATTTGGATTCTGTGGTTTTTGTCTACTTTCAGTGTTTAAAATAAAATACGCACAGTAACATTTGATTACTTTGTGAAGCACAGATGGGAAAAGACTGTTGTGGTCTGATAAGTAGGAGGTGGCTTTAAAAAGTTGTTTAAGGCTTCTCAAATCAGCAAAGACTTCTAATATTATTGAAGATTTAGCAGTGGATTTGCACTACTGTGGATTTGCACCTCTGTGTCGTGACCATGTGTGACTTCATAAAAGAATTACTTAAACAAGTGACCTTTCTTTTAAAATGCTGATTGTGTTAATCAGACAAGTTTGTGTGTAGTATGTTCTTTAAATTTTGAAAATGCCTTACCTATTTACTGGTGCTCATTTTCTATAACTTTTTAATGTGCACCTAGACCCTGTTCCTTCAGGTCTCTGCATCAATTTATGTGAGATTCCTGAAGCAAAGCAGAAAGTATTTTCACTGTAGTATTTTAGCGAAGCATTTTTTTTACACATTTAATCTTAAATATTCTGAGGAGAAACAGACATAATTGAAATACGTGGATTGTAGATGATGAAATAAAGTATCATTCATTCTTATCTTTTTCAAGGTAGCAGTGATGGTTCTGAACTCAGTGAAGAGACTTCCTGGCCAGCATTTGAAAGGTAGGAAAGCTTACCTCTCAAAACCTGCATTTCTCTATTCAGACATTGTTACTTATAGTCTCACACTCAGTCCTGAAAATGATTCTTTCTTGTAGTGATCTAGAGATCTACTTTAGGTAAGAATATTAATAAATTGTAGTAAGTTCACCAGACCTGTTAAAGCAGCAGAGAAGTGTCTTCTGCTCACTAGTAGTTAACAGGGCTTTTGTCTGATTGTTCAGACAAATGCTTGTTCATTGCACACTTCCTTCTAAATAGCTCAAACAGAGCACCATTAAATGCCAAATATTTTTTTTTTGCTGGTTTTCTATATTTGTATATGCTCTGTATGCTATTCATGTGACCTATCTGTTTTTCACTTTCACTTTCCCTGAGGTCTTTCATCCGTTCTTGGTCCCTTTGACAACATCAATGACAAGAACACCTGTTTTGTGTCTGTCATCTGCTCTTCACTTCATTGTTACATGGGAAGACACAAAAACACCCCTTGCTAATGTCTGATTTTTGTGGTCCAGAGTTAACATCTTGCTCCTTGTCCAATACCTGCAAATGCTCAGGTGACGTGGACCCCTTCAATCCTCTCCCGGGTTGTATTTGAGAATGTGGAAAAAGACTAAGAGCTGTGTTTTAATATAGTAAAAAGTGGAAATGTCATCTTCCCACAGCTGAGTAAGATGCACAGTTACAGCTGTAGTTGGCTTCTCTAGCTCAGTTTCAGGTAATCCATCAGCTTCAGAGTTGCCGTGGATGACTTTTTCAACCATATTTTGAAGACATTTTGCAGAAACCTTTGTCAAAGAACTTTATAGTTGGAACTGTTACCACAGCCCTTAAATTCTGCTTGAATTCACTGAAGCAGTTGAATTTCTGTGTTACTTTTTGGAAGAAATCTTTGCATATATGAGGAGATGCCCTTATGATTCCAGTAAGAACATTCCAAATAAGTATAGAAAGAAAATTGGGTCATAAAGCCTCACGTGTGCTCTGTGATGCAGCCTGCAACATTCAGAAGGTTTTCTTGCTCTTCCTTCCCTGCTATCATATGGAATTAATCAAGTTCAGGTTATTTATCAAAGCCAGAAAGTTATATGGAAAAGCCTTAGATGAACTGGTGAACTGAGTGCTTTTATCCAGGGTAGTGTAATAAACTTACAAATTTTAGTAAGCCTCAAGCTTAAGCTCGTGGTAACACTCTCCAGAAATGTTGTGTGGACTTCTAGGGCAAAGCAGAGGCTTTTTCATCCCCGTTCTAATGTGAATTGACTGGCCCAGACTGCCCCTAGTGAAGAGGTTTGCTCCATCTCAAACAATTGCGTCAGAAGATTTCTCCTTCTCCGATTTCCACTTGCCTTCAGTACTTACTTCCCTTCTGTGAGAGCTCTTTCGGGACTCCGTTTGGAGTTGCATGTTTTTCAGGGTGAGTTCTCTTGCCTCCTTCTGGGGAGGGGGATTGGATCCGTTACAGCCATTCAAAACATCACGTGGGAACTTCCTAGAGATGTGCAGCAACCTTGTGTCTGTTCTGTGTTTTATAAGATGATGAAGCATGTTTTGGAATTCAGTAGGTAATACACTGATGTTTGAATGTCAAAATTTAAGTAGCTGGAGAGGGTACCTCCTCTAGTTTCCATTCTCAGCAAAAGAGACTTTAAGTGAGGCAGAACCATTAGGTGTCTGGAATTAACAGCTGCTGGCAAAATTGGGATACATCCAGTGTTGTTAATGATGACTTCCTATGCAGCATGAGTGGGGAATTTAGTATTTCCCAGTGATATAGGAACAGGATCTTTGGGTAGGAGGTCTTGAACAGGGAAAAATGAGATACTCCCAAACTAACAGAAGGAATTGTAACAAATATTCCTGGTTTTCCTGGCCCTACTGTTGTTTGTAACTGGGAAATGCATGGGGGAGAACTAGGGTCACTGGTTTTAAGTGCAACAGAAACTTGGTTTGAAACTTGACAAAGAGCTTTCAGCGTTGGAGCATCCCTTTAGGCTAACGAAAATTATTTGAAGGACTTCAATTCCAAGTCCTGACAGTTATATCCTGTTAAGGACAGTATACTAAGTGCCACGTCAGTCGTACTGGTTGTCATCCTGAGTGTCTCTGAGTAGATTTTCCTGAAATAGCTTGAATCCAGGAGTGGTAGCCTCCTTGTTATGCAAAAAAAAAACAAACTTAAAGGTAAGAAGAAGATGCATTTCATTTGCATGCAAAATCTATGTACACACAAACACACAGCTCATTTTATGGTTTTCTTTCCTTCATCTTAATACTTGTTTTATTTGTCTTTATCTTGAATATATTTTTTAAAAAAAATCTAAAATTTTATGTTGAAAAACAAATGATGGCAAGCTCTGGGATAGACTAGCAGATGATAATTAATTAGCATCTTTTTGACAATTCTTGAAGCAAAGGGAATCTTTTGAGCTGGTTTAAAAAATGAAAATGACAAAAACAAGCAAAAAAGACCCATTCTTGTTTAATGCTGCTGACCTTAACTGTATCTCTTCTTTAAGCCTGCTTTCTTTGCCTGCTGTGTGCTGTTCTGAGTTCAGACTGAAACATCATAATGCTGCTTGCTTAGATATTCCATTTGGAGAAGTACTGCCCTGTCCATATCTAAGCAGCTTTCCAGCTAACGCAGAGCCCCTCTCACAGATGCCAGATGGTGAGATTTACAGTGCGTAGTAGATTTTTCCTCTGAAATTCTCACAGGCTTGTACTTAACGGCCAGCTTCTGTGGAATTAGAGACAGGTTTCAATCTTTCACTGTAATACAAGCAACAAGAAAAAGGAATACAAAATAGGAGGTGAGGACAAATTGCCCGTGCTTCTCTTGACTTAGATAGAATTTAGGCAACTGAGGGATCTCATTGCAAAAAACAAGGTTCAAGGAAGCAGAGCAGTGTTCAAAAGGCAGGTCTAGAACACAAATTCTCGCTAGGGATAATGCTATAAATGAGATTAAGAACTCTGAAACGTAAAGCTTATAGGTAAAGTTTAAAGCTTATATGAAATGGAGGATTGAAATGTTGCTTAGCTTATGTCAATATTACTTAATAAAACAGTATTTTGAACAGTGTTAAATGTATTTTAATAGTGCTTTTGATTCCTTTCAGCCCAACAGCTTGTGTGTGTGTGTGTGTGTGTGTGCACGCGTACTCATAGAAGTTGAAGCCATTTTCCAGTAGTAGTATCAGAATTTAAAGACAAGTTTGCTTAATATGGATCCTTTACATTGATTTAATCTCTAGGATCTAAATGCAGACTTTGCTTTCAAAAGGAATTGTTCTTCAGCGTCAGTAAAGCACTTCAGTATTATGAGTTCTGACAAAGAGAACATCTGATGAAAAATACCCAAACAAACAACTAAACGTGGTATCTACCTCTGCATGTATGTTTCTAAATGAAATTATCCTCTCTTTCTTGTGTGGAAGAAGTGGCTTTGTGATATGCTCACACACAAAAAAAGAGAAAAACTATGCTGTTTTAGCAGTCGTGCTGTTTGTGTGAATAAAAGTGTATGTAATACGTACAATTTATAATGGAATCCAACAGGAACAGATTGTACCATTCTCTCGGTCCGGGGACAAGAGTGTCACGAAATGGCTATCGAGGCCACATGAAGGCCAGCAGGTACCATCCCCACTGCACCAGAGGTGTCAGACTTTCCCTCTGGTGTTGGTGATTTGGTGTTGGTTTGATAATTAAGTGGGTGTTTTCTGATGCTACCTTTCTAACATATCAAAATTTAAAGGTAGAGACCTTTTTCTTTCAGACTTAAAGCTTTCCTCTTCTGTGATTTAACCTGTATCGCTGTAAGGGCTTTTATTTGTTCTGGTCTGCAAATCTAAAATCTGAACCATTGGATCTTGATATCAAGGCTTAAAGATGTTTTACCAGAGGTGTGGCTTTTTAACTGCTTCCACTGTGTAGCAGTGTCTGTAGTTCTCATGTGGACAGCAAAGCTGCTTCTTGTGCCAACAGATGGCATTCGAGACATTTTCTTTGCTGATAGATCTGTCCTGAATTTCTTTTCCCCTCTTCCCTGAAATCAGCAATGTGCCTAAAATAATGCATTAAAATCGCTCCGAATTTATAATAAAGTTCTTTGCAAGCTGACAGAGTAATTTAACTGATGATTCAGATTAATTTAATTACAAATTCTGTCTCCAGCTGTGTGGTATTGTAGTTGGGGAAAGAGATGGCCGTTACCTATGAAACTTTGATGTTAAGAAGCAAGCATTGTCCCACTCCAATTAAAGTCGTGTTCACATCTGTCAATGTCCCTAACTGTCTCCGTATCATCATCCACAGTAGGTGCTGCAATGAAAATGTTTCCTAGGTTTCCAGTTCACTTTGAACATTCATGAATGTTGGATGGATGAAAGAGCAGATCCTGTCTTGGCTTTTCTAGAAAGCCGCTGGGTTCGACAATTGAGTTACATGCTCTTATGGATGTTGACTGAAATGAATCCTGCTGTAAATTTTTTTTTTCTTATTTGAAAATGTTTTGTAAACCAGTCAGCTCCATGATTTTGAGAAAGCTAGGTTTTCTTTTCACAGTGCTCTACTTGGCATTTATTTTGGCCCCTTGCTCTTAAATCTTACAAAGGGTAGATGTTTAGTAGAGCACCAGATGCATTAAAACACCTTAAAGCTGTGGCTTGGGTTTCTACTCTATTCCTGCTCCTGCCCACTATTCTTGCTTTTGGATATTTTAAAGATTGTGCATGTTTGAGCTACGCTTTGTCTTTGGTGTGCTAATGTTTCTAGTGTTTCTAACACAGAAAATGATCTTTCTTGCAAAGGCTAAAGGAGAGGTTTTAACACATGCAGCAACTCTATGAATGTAGTTAAAATGTTTCCTTTTTAAAATTAATTGTTCTTGTATTTCAGTTGTCTTGAGGTTTGGGGGTTGTTGTGGATTTTTTTTATTTTATTTTATTTTTAATTAAGGATTACCTGCTTGGCTAATTAATTTTTCTGATCACTTTTGCTTGCAAGTTTAAATTCCACAATGGCAATTCCTTGTAACAGCCAGAGTCTTTTTCCACAATGAAGTCCAATAAATAAAAACCTGACATTTTTAAATTAAAATACAGAGGTTTGCATTAGCTTGCAGTAATGATTGAAAACCTACTTTGGGAAGATGTATTTTTTTACATGAATCTTCACGTGCTCCTTTCAGCTCCTTAGAATCTGAAGATTTGGCTGTTCATTTATATCCAGGAGCAGTTACTATTCAAGGTGTTCTCAGGAGGAAGACTTTGCTGAAAGAAGGCAAAAAACCTACAGTAAGATTTTTTTTTTTTTTTAATTACTTTCTCACCTTCTTCTGTTGTGCAATTATAAAAACAACAATATGGCCATCGTGCAACTAATTCAAGTGTCTGGGATCTCCTGTGCCTTGCTGCTTAAGGTTTAAGGTCACTGCTAGAATTTGCATTCTTCTGTTTGGTGGATTTATTCAGTTTATAAGCTATAATCTATGGAGTAGAAGAGAAGTGGTATGCTACATAAAATTTCTTACCAATAACTTTAAAAGAGAGAAGTGTGTTTTGTCTTTCTAAATATTAGGCAAATCCTAACAATTTATAAGTACATAATAACCCTTAGCGTTTGCATTGCAAATGCTTGATTATGAATTATAAATGAAAATGCATATTCATGACAATGGCAGTACTCTAGCTCAATGAAGTATTCAATAAGGGTTGCGTTTCAATAAGAAATGCAATGATTTTCTCAGATTAGTGAGGAAAGGCACATATTCTTTCGGCTTTCTAGATTTTTAATGCATTCGCAGGCCTACATGAATGCCTAGAAGCAGCAGCTTTGGAAACATGACTGATGGCTTTGCTGGACAGTTAGTGCTGTCATGTTCTTGCAGGATGATGCCTGCTATTTTACAGCTCAATATTATGAAATGTTTCGCTTATCTGTTGCACTTTTTTTTTTTCTTCTATTTTCTCTCTAGGTAGCATCTTGGACAAAATACTGGGTAGCACTGTGTGGAACCCAACTCTTTTACTACGCTGCAAAATCTCTGAAGGCCACAGAGAGAAAACATGTATGTAAAATAGACATATTCCAGTGCCATCTGCCAAAAGTAAAATGTGATTTCCTCATGTAAACACTGAGAGTAGTTCAAGACCTGCATGATTTCTAGTGAGCACTATCCTGTCTTCCAGTCAGACAATCACCTCATCTGAATATGCCCTGATGGAAACATCGTGCATATTTGTGTGCTACACCAAGAACATCTGCCTTGTGTATGCCGTGGGTCTCTGAATTTGTTGGTCTGTAAGGAAGGGAGCTGTGTCGTCGGGTCTGTCTGCTTTTGTAAGGTAGAAGCTGTCTGTTTTGACGGTCTCCAAGTGTTGCAGCAGTTTGTTGCTACTTGAAATGCAAACAAGCATTGGTGTTGAAAGACCGAGAATTCACTACATATGTCAGTAAACATGTACCAGTTTCATATATGTGGTAAAGTTAGACTGCTCTTTCTCTGCTTATTCCTGTCATCCATTAACAATAACAGAGCACAAATCACTTGTATGTTAAGCAGAGAGCTAGCATGTCATATGGTGCTTGCTTTCCTTTTGTTCACTGTAGCTTTGTTTGAAAGAAGCTAAAAATACTTGGCTTATGTGGGGAAGTAGTAAAAGGATTTTCTGTAGCTGTTCCAGGAATGTTATGATGTGCGTAGTTCCTGTTATCACTGGTTAATTATAAGGGAAGAAGGTGCTGCTAGAGGTTCTGTTAAGAAACTGGATAAAATTTGAGATAGATGGATTTTTTTTTTCTCTGATCTTGTTAAGTACTCAGAACCATTACTTATAGTTGCCTTGCCCAGTGTTTCAGCTTAATTTGACAACTGTCATTGAAAAACATTTGCTTTGCCTAAAGTTCGTGGAATTGTACAAGCTGCAGTATGCTTCTAGAATCCTTGTAAGGGGACGATCTTGTTTCTTTTTGGGTCTTATCCTAATGTTTTTATGTTCCAAATGAGGAGATTTGGAGCTTGAGATTTCTGTTTAGTAGATTCCGGGATATTTGAATTTTCTATGTGGAAAGCTTGTGTGTAATGTTCTCTCAATCTGAAAAAAACCAAAAGAGTAGAAGAGTAGGGTACTTCTAGTGAAAGTAGTTTGTTAGGAAACAATATTCTAATACTCAAAGTAGTTTAATAATAGCAAATTCCTTGTAGATGTATTTGCATAGTTTCTTTGCTGTCATCCATCTGCCCCACCTTTGCTAGCTTTGATTGCTTAAGTGGCATCAAAACGGATCCTACTTTGTTTCTCTTGCCAGTTAAGACAATACTAGCCCAGACCAAAGGCCTGTTAGCCCACCAGCCAGCCTGTCTCCTGGGTGTCTTTAGTGAAGTATAGGTTTGGATGCATTTGCCTCTGGTGTCAGTGAGAACCTTATGGCAGGAGCCTGCCTCGTTAAAAGTAAAGGGAGTTGGAAAGAACAGACTCGTAAACTGTTAGGAGCAGAAATGCGAAGTGCTAAAGAAAAAAAATGAACCAAGAGAGAACTTGTGCTGGCATTATGTCACTAGAGAAGTTAGTGGCTTGGTTTTTTCTGGAAATGTTGAGAAATGGAAAAGTTTCTTGTAATGTCAGACTTTGTGCTCTTGTTACTGATGTGACACCTTTAGGTTTTATGCCAAAATTGCATTTTGTTTTCTTTGAAGAATAGAATATCATTTTTAAGTCTCTCTTGTCCACTGGCTGTCAAAGTGCTGAGTGATAGAAGATTTTACCACACTTGTACCTATTCAATCAGAAGCTTTATCAGTATTGGGTATAAATATTTTAAAACAATCAAAATAACACGTGGGTGTAGAGAACTTGGAAAAATTGCATAGCTGGTAATTTTATTGTTTGGAAATGAGGTATAATGAATTTTCACATGGTCCGTTTGCTTATACATTTCCTTCTGAATAACAGTTTTAATAATTTAAATGGTCTTGCCCTTTCTTTAGGGAAAGTAAATGAAGTAAAAATGTAACAAATGTAAACATTCAAGTACCTGACTCTCCTGAGTCTCTGTTGCTGCAAAAGCCTTTACTTTTGTCTTGAAACGCGTCATATCCATTTAGAATTCTCTTTCAACTCTTACTTTCTGAACCTATTCAATTGCTTCTTAGTAGTCCCTGAGTCACTGATGTGTTGTGATACTTACAACAACTAACCTCCTAGTGAACGGGTGCCTCAGAAGCTAATGCCTGTCTCACATCCTTCCGTTCTCATGTTAATTTGTCCAAGGGTGTGCCAGCAGGCCAATAAAAAAGTTTGCAGACAGAGGCTAGGAGATGTTCAAGTCCATAACGCTGGCAGGATCACCCATGTGGCTTGCAAATACTGAGCGGAGTTCAAGTAATGCAGTTCCGAGGAAATGGAGCTGGAGCAGTGGTAGTAGAAAGCAATGACTGCTAAAGCAGATTTATTTTTTTAACCGTTGGCCCTGTGAAATTGGACTGAACCATCTGGTGCAACCTTGTATTTGTCTGGGCACAGCTTTTAGCTTTGGAGGGCAGCAAACATATTTTTTTCTGTCCGTGGATGCAAACCATATTATGAAGCTCGGGTGTCTGATTTGGTTTCCCAGGCGCATTCATGGTTAAAATAATGTAGTGTTTATTAGCTGTGGTTTGGATTGTCTTTTACTGAAATGAATTTTTCACAGTAAATACACACAACTTCTGTTCCAAAGGTCATTAGAAAGCAGTGTAATCTTTACATTGAAATTAAGATGGAAAATAACCTGGTAAGTGCTGTGGGAGACTGGTTGGGGGGATTAGGGAGAGAGGCTCCAGTTTATTAAGCAGACAAATAATAACTTGTCAGTAACTTTATTCTAGTCTGTCTATTCTAGTCTACCTGTGTTGTACCTCTAGCCTAGCCATTGATGGCTTAGATGCCCATCCGTTTCACTGCAGGGTTATTGTACAAAGCCTCAGCTTTTGTTCTGGAGCCTATGAAGATTACTTGTCTGTTCTGGGGTGTATGATAGGTGACTTATCTAGTGTCATGCTTCAATTCACATTCCATTATGTTTTCCTAAGTAGATTAAGAGAGAATAAACTGTAGCTGATCAGCCATCTGCAGGTAGCTATGCTGCATGACTATATGATTACTGTACAAATAGTATCCAGTGTTACTCCCAAAAGGTCCATTCTGAAAAATAAATATATCTGAGGGCAGATCTACATTTTGTTTTGTACCTGTCCAGATTACATAGATAAAAAGGATGATGCTCTCTACTTCGAAGCGGGTTTCTTTTTGCAAGATTAATACATTTGAGATTGTACCTAAGTAAAATATTCCAAGCATCTTCTGGAACCATGTAAACATCTGTCTTTTCAGCTTCCTTTCTCCAGGTCTCTGTGACATGGAGAGGAACGCTGGCAATGAAAAAGTCAGTCTGCTATATAAAGTTTCCTGGCTAGAGCTCTCACGGTAAATGCGTCTTGATTACAGGCGTGCTTTTGGCTGTATTGCTGCTGCTGTCGCTTCGGGCAGCTGAGACTGAGAACTTAGGATGTGCCAACACCTCAAAGCTCTTCCAGGCTTCTAATGGCCAACCTCTTTGGAAAATTACCTTGTAAAAATCCCAGTGTAATCCAGCAAAAAGGGCAAGAAACCCTTTGTAGACACGGGCAAGACAGCTCTTCTTCTGATTGCTGTGGGCAATATAGTGCATATTCTGGATGTGAATCTAGCCCAAAGGACAAGGATGCTGTAGATACCTGGATGTGACAAACTTTCTTGTGCTGTGTCTGCTAAGAAAGATTATTAAATATAAAGAGCTTTATATTATAAATAGTGAATGGGTTTCAGTTATTACTGAAGTAATGGAAAATTGTCTCTAACGAGCATGTGAACTTCAGAGCCCAGAGATGTGGTCCAGGAGAATGTGACAGGAATGTGCGTAAAATGCCTAAGGTTTTATCTCATACCCCCAAATGGTACTCGCAAACAAGCGTATGCAGTGAAACTGGAGCACTTGCACACCTTTAGAAAAGGACGAGGGTAAAAATATTGACCTTAAAATTAGGCTTAAAGAAAGCGTTCACCCTGAAAAATGTGTGAAAAATTCGCCCATTAAAAAAACCTGTTTATAGTGATTGGACTGGAAGAACTTTGCCAATTTCTGTGACAGCGTAGCACACATGAGAGGTTTTTCCATGTTTGCAGGTACTTTTTAAAGGTCTCGTGCTTGAGCATGATACCTTGTTCATTCCAAGCCTTCCATTGCATGTTGTTGTCCTGGGTTTAGCTAAAACCCA